ACCGCCCTGTCCGCCGGGCTTTCTCAGGACCCGGGAGCCGGAAACCGAAACTCTGAGCTCGGCCTGGCAGGAAAGTTCGCGAAGGGCGCGCCCGCGTGCTGCGGGTGGGGGGCGAAGGGCGGGGCGGGGGATCGTTCCTCCCCGGGGCGGGGCGGGCTCCCCGGTCCCCCAACACCTGTGTGCGCACAGGTGCCCCACACCTGACCCTACACACCTGTGCCCGCACACCTGACCCCACACAGCTGTCCCCACAACCCATCCCTGCACACCTGTCCCCGCAACGCATCCCTACACACCTGTCCCCACACACCTGTCCCCGCACCTGATCCCTGCTGCAAACCTGGACTCTTCCAGGACCTGAGACCAGGGTCGCCTCACAGCTCCTTGTCACTCACCTATGGGCTCCACGCCCCCAGCCCAGCTCTGGGCACCTCCCTGGTGTTTTGCAGCAGTGGGTCTTGGCCAGGTGACAGGTGAGTGCACCTGGCGTCCCCTCCCCTGCCGGCCCAACCTAGTCCTTGTTCAGATGGTCTACTTTGTATCCTTTGACTAATGAGCATGCAGGTGGGCCCAGTACAGGAGGCTTGGAGGGTGACTTCACTCCGGGAGTTTGGGCCCCTGGGTGTGGGCGCGGGGGTGGGGTATGTGCAGTGGCCAGTTGGGAGCAGCTAACTGAATGTGTGGATCGGTAGCCAGAGCGGCTGGGTCAGAAGCAGGGCTGGGACCGGCGTGGGGTGTGAGGACAAGTCTCTTGTTCTTGCTTCAAGTTGGAGGACAGTGCTGGGTGTTCAGGGTGACTCTCTAGTCCTGGCCCTGCTGCCTGGGGATGTCGTCGCTGAGCTATGGTGTGTGGGGGTCCCGTTGCTGCCTTCTGGCAGAGGCCCCAGCCCCGTATTTCTGTGAACAGCATGTGGATGTCCAGTTCTCACACCATGAACCCCAGAACTGCTGGGATTTTGAGCCAAGGACCCAAGGGTCACTTCCTGGCCCTTCTCTGCACAGCCTCATAACACCTGTGCATGGGGGTGTGGAGGGCCCTGCCTGCCCTCCGGGGCTCAGAGGAGAGGACAGACCCTCAGCTGGCTGACCCTTCTGGATCCCTCCATGCACGCTGTGGTCCTACCATCTTCAGGATTTAGCCAGTGTGCTGACCTTGGGGCACTGCCCTGTCCCTCAGCTAGGACATTCCTGGGCACCGTCAGGCTCTCCCAGGTCAGGCTCTGCCAGGTCATTTGCTGTGTCCAGACCGCACCCCTCCAGAGGACCTGCTCTGTCGAGATTCATGTCCTTGCCTCCCCAGCACCTCCTGGTGTCTGAACATCTGAGGGAGGAGGGGGTGACCAGGAGGTCTGCTTGTGCCCATTGCTGCAGAGATGGGGTCTCCGCTTCATCACCAAGCTGCAGCACGGGCCTGGAGTGCAGTGTGGAACGGCTGTGGTGACCCATGCCCTTGGAGAGAGTCTGCTTTCTGCGTCAGGCCTCGGAGCTGTACACTAGAGACCATGGCTGTGGCTTCCACAGACAGACAGATGTGCCTTCCTCTTAAGCTTGATGTTGGGATCTGGGGACATCTCCCCCTTCCACTAGGGCCGCTAGGACAGGTTCTTGACACCTCTGGGCCCCGTGCTCCTTGGAGATTGCTGGCCTGGCCTCGTGTCACCCCATCTCTCCTGCGGAAAGGCACTCACACGAACCCTGCCTTGTTAACTGTTCAGGGAGGGCCTGGTGAGCACAGGCAGGAGCTTGGGCTGATAGCAGGCACCCCAGCCCCACCACCAGCTGGCCCTCCCTTGCCCCTGGAGGGTCCTGGCCGGCCCAGGGCCTGGAGCGGTGTGTGCATGGGGTTGGTCTGGACCAGTCCTAGAGACCATCACACTTCTGAACACTGAGACCCCTCCCACCATCGTGCGCTCACCCAGAAGCACGGAGTCACACTCTGCAGGTCCGCTGGTCCCAGGCACTTGGAGAGAAGCAGGCATGGCCACCACAGAGAGGGAACTCAGTCAAGCCTGGCCGGAGAGAAGGCTGAGCAGCTGTAGTGCCCCACCAAACACCCCGTGGCCTCTGCTGCCCCCCAACGTGGGCGTGGGCTGGGTGCCTGCTGAGACCGGCTGTAATCAGTCTTGAGTTAGCACTGACAAGGTTTTGTTAGCTCGCAGCGTGCACGGCCTCGTCTCCTGCTTCCTGCATTGCACGTGATCCTTTTTCTGGAGTGACGGTGGCACAGCTTTCCTGCAGTCAGGCTGTCTCCCAGACTTGTCTCAGACACGTCAACGCTGGGAGCCTTCTAGCCGTTTGCTGAAGTCATTGTGTCGAAGACTTGTCACCCAGGTGCTGTCTGCAGCCAGCAAGAGCCCAGCTCAGCTGTGACCAAGCTGTGGTCTTCTCATCTGCGTCACCAGAGGTCTGGGCAGTAGATGGAAGACAGGAGGAGCATTGAACGCTGGACCTGCAGCGTCTGTGAAGAGTGGATGCAGAGCGCCACGGGAGTCCAACCAGAAAGGGTGGAGGCGTGGGTGGAGCATGGGGCCAGTGGTGACGATGCCAGTTCCAGCAGATGACGCTGACATGCTGACAAGCTGGATAGTCACTGAGGATGCCAAGGCCTGGACATAGCCATCCACACACACTCTCTCCTGGTGTGAGGCATCAGGGGCCTTCACCCAAGCTGTGCCAGAAAATGCTGGTGACCAGAAGCGGCCAGAGTTCGGAGCATGGTGGCCACTTGCCCCGTGTACTGTGCCCTGCCAAGAGTGGTCCTGGCCTCTCTGAGGTGGAAACCATTGAGAGGTTCATGTCACTTTGTATGTAAGAGGCGGCTCTGGGAGGGGGCGCCTGCCCTCCAGAGGTTCCCTGAGCAGGGACACAGCGTCTGTGTCTGCGTTAGAAAGAGGGGACAGAGTGACCAGGCATCTGGGGAGCAGGAGGGAGAGGAGTGACTTGGAAGCTGGACACAGCTTCCCAGGACAGGAGGCTTGGAGGCTGACTTCACTCTGGGAATTTGGGGCCCCCTGGTTGTGGACGCAGGGATGAGGTATCTGCAGTGGGCAGCAGCTGTACCCCTGGGGGTCAGCCAGAAAGCTGAGACCCCTGCCAGGGTGCTGGAACCTGCCTTGGGGCCAGCAAGTGGCCTGGGGCTCCTTGGTGGACGTGGTCTCAGTCACCGGTGATAGAGACCGAAGGGTAGAACCTGGTCCCAGAACACTGGCAGGGACACTGCAACAGCAGCACATCGCAGGCCGGGGGACACTGCGGTGCCCCTCCGCTTAGGCCACTGTGTGGCCATATATGTGCAGGAGGTGGAGGGTGGGTGCCTGTCCTCCTCTTGGGCCTGTTTGCCATGAGTGACCGGCGGCTGCAGGCTGAAGGTGGAGATGAGGGAACTTCTGTGTCCCACCAGCTGGCCACGCTGGGCACCCCTGTCTATAGGTGGACGGAGTTAGCTGGCCTTTGCCGCGTCTGGATGCTGTGGGGGCCCTGTAGGGGCTGTCAGCAGCCCTGTGACGTGTGTCTGTCCTCCACAGGCTCCGGCAGAGTGGTGTCCCCATGGCGGCGGCGAGTGTGACGCCCCCAGGCTCCCTGACTCTGCTGCTGCCTGGCTTCTCCCGGACACTGCTGGGCACCAAGCTGGAGGACAAGTACCTGTGCTCGGCCTGCGGCAACGTCCTGCGGCGACCTGTGCAGGCCCAGTGCGGTCACCGCTACTGCTCCTCCTGCCTGGCCAGCATCCTCAGGTGCGTGGGCTGTGCTGGACACTGCTGCTCCTGGGAGGCCTGGCACAGAGGAGGGCATGAAGGTCTTCCTCGGTGGGCACTGAGACGGGAGGGGACAGATGCCGGAGAGTGACTGGGTGGGGGTGAGAGAGTGAGTGAGTGAGAGAGAGAGACAGACAGTGATAATGGAGAGATTGCGTGAGTGAGAAAGCGACCATAGGCATCGGGGCTGGACACCCTCACCCCACACACGGTAGGGGGACAGCCTCGTGGTTTCCGGGCCTTAAGATGCTGGGTGGTCCCAGAGAGACGAGGGCACCCAAAGAGTCAGGAGGGTCTCACCTCTCCCCACAGCTCCGGGCCGCAGAACTGTGCCGCCTGTGTGCAGGAGGGCATCTATGAGGAGGGTGTCTCCATCCTGGACAGCAGCTCGGTGAGCAGGGCAGCTCGGCGTGGGGCGCGCTGCTCCTGCCTCCCACAGGCTGACCAGGCGTGGCTCTCTCCCAGGCTTTTCCAGACAATGCTGCCCGCAGGGAAGTGGAGGGCCTGCCAGCCATCTGTCCCCACGGTGGGTGCACCTGGACAGGGACTGTCAAGGAGTATGAGGTAACATTGAATGAGGGGCCCTGTCGAGGTCTGCGTGGGGCTGTTGGGGAATACCAGGGTAAACTCTCAGACGGGGAGACACAGGAAGTTGTGCCTGTGGAGGGCCCTCAGAGCCCAGGCTGCGTCTCAGGATTGCTGCGTGAGCACCCATCACCTGTCAGGTGTGACAGTGTGCCCTTGGACTGGGAGGCCGGCAGCACTGAAGGAAAGTGGCCTGAGCTGGGGCCTCCCTAGTGCCCCTTCTTCTCGGACCTGGCTGTGCTTGTGTGGGGCTGAAAGATTTGCCTGGAACTTGACTCTTCCTGAGTGTAAGGGGTCAGCCTCGGGACTGAGAGGGGCAGGGCAGAGCCAGCGCCCTGCAGGGGAGCCGTCTGCGGGCAGGGGAGTGCAGGGTGAGTCGGGCTGCCCAGTGACTGTTCAGCTGGCCTGTTCACGAGTGTCCTCGCTCACCAGGCTGGTCTGGTTGGTGTCTCTGGCCTGTGTATTGGGCTGGGTAGAGGGCCAGGTCTGTTTTTGGAGAGTGGAGATCCCCTGTCCCCAGACTCGCACCTCGGCCTGCATGCCCGGCTGTGCTTGACAGAGTGGTGAGTGGCCCCCAGCTCAGGCTGAGAGGCTGCACCACCTGCCGGCATGCAGAGTGGAAAGTCCCTGGCCAGGCCCCTGCTAGCTCCGGAAAGTCCCCAAGCCTGGGCGATGGCCAGCTTCGTGTTCTTGGCTTGACCGCTCTGCTCCCACTCTGGTCCTGGCTGGATGTGGGTCAGGCTCTGTTCGTCCTTTCCGTCTACTCAGCGGCAGTGCTGAGACAGCTATCACCTGCGTCCTGTCCATCTGCTCAGCAGCAGGGCCGAGACCTGGGAGAGGCCTCTCGGCGGTCTTCCTTGTCTGGACGAGGGACGGAAGGCCTCATCCAGCCTGCACTGGGTTTTTCTCTGTGGTGAGCAATTTCCAGCTCCATTGCGGATGGCCGTGCCCTGAGCATCCAGCTGGAAGGCTCTCCCCCATCTCCCTCGCCACCAGCAGCAGGCCGATTGGAGAATTCACTGCAGGGTCAGAAGTGGGGAGCAGGCAGGGTGGCCTGGGGGAGTCCGGCATTATAGCTTCTGTGCCGGCAGGAATGGATAGTGACCCCTGCCCTCCCCTTCTCCGTGCTTCAGGGTCTGACTCACCCCAGCCCTGCTAGTGATGTATCCAAGGGACCTGCCAGGGCATCCCCTGGAGACAGAGGTGCAGAGATGACTGTGTACTGTGGGTGTGGTGCCTGCTGCCCCCCACCACTGGGCGGCCCTATTCAGGTTGTGTTCTGGAAGATGGGATCAAAGGACAGACTCCAAGGGCATCAGTGCTGTCACGGCCTGTCAGGGGGAGGAAGAAGGAGGGAGACCTGAGATGGACCACAGTGGGTGGCCCACGTGCCCTGTTGTCTTTGGAGTGAGGTAACTGGACATGGCTGGGCCAGTGAAGGGCTTGGTGGTCCCTGGCACCTCTTTTTAGACAGCTTTCTTATGTCTGGCTGGGTTGTTGGTCATGACTCGTAGAGTCTAGAGACCCCACAACAGGCTGTCTTGTCCGCTGTGTCGTCACTGTGACTGACTCCTCCGGACGTGGGCAGTGGGGTCCTCGGGGTGCGACCTCTGGCTGCCCCACACTATTCTCCACGTGTCCACTTGGCTCAGTCTCTTGAGCTGTGACCTCTGTCCTCTGACCTGTGGCCTCTTCCTTCTGCCCCCATCCTCCGCCCTTTGCCCCATCCTCCATCCTCTGCCCACATCCTCCACCGTCTGAGCCAGATCCTGTCTGCAGATGCAGGGGCGTCAGGTGGGGGCCAGGTCTCTGACAGGATGGGCTCCCCTGTGGCATCAAGGACAGGTGGAGATCCCCTGCATATTCAGTCTGTGTCTTGGGCTAAATGCCTAGGTCAGGGGCTGGCAGGAAGCACTTGGGAGCAGTTGGCTGAGGAGTGCTTGGGCAGAAGCAGCACCCACTGTAGGCTGAGAAGATGGGGGATGCCCATGGGAGGTCCCTGCTGTGTGATTGGTGAGGTCTTAGCCTGAGAGCTAGGTGGGGTGACTGAGAGGGGCCTATGTGGCCCTAGTGACCTTGCACCTTTCCTGCTGCAGAGTGGCCACGAGGGACAGTGCCTGTTCATGCTGACCACATGCCCTGCCTGCAAGGCCTCGGTGCGTCTGGGCGAGAAGGATCGCCATGCCGAGGCGGAGTGCCCGGAGCGCAGCCTCAGCTGCCCACACTGCCAGGCCCCTTGCTTCGGGGCCGGCCTGCAGGTGAGGGGGCGGGGCCGGCCTGCTGGAGTTCTAGCCCAGGCAGGTCTCTGTGAATGAGGAGGGGTGCTGACAGCCCCGGGGGTGGGTGGAGGGCCTCTCAGCTCCTGTGGGCCTAACTGGGTTGTGCTCAAGGCAGATCCCCGGAACCACAGATCCTGCCTGAGGTCTGCGTTGGGTTTCCAGGAGGCAGGTACCCTTGTGGCCAAGGCTCAGATTGTCCCGGTCATCAGTTCACCCTGTTTCTGGCTGGATACTGGCCCTGCCAGCTGCTCCAGGCCCCCAACCTCACTTCCTCTCATGGTCCTGTGTGTGGACCTGAGTGGATGGGGCTGCTTGTGTCCCTTCCCCAGCGTGTGGATCAGGTTATTTTGTATCCTGGCCTGCACTGCCCTGGGGCTCTCGGGAAGGAGAAGGCCTGCAGGCCCAGCTGCATCCGCATAGGCTGAGCCTGCATGTGGCCGTCCCCTGTGTCGGTCACTCTCCCAGGGTCGGTCACCCTCCCCAGGGTCACTCGGTCATGCTCCCTGGTACTTTTCCCCACAGGCACACTTGGAGATCTGCCCTCAGCTTCCCCTGACCTGTGAGGGCTGCGGCAGCAAGACTGTCCCCCGGGAGAAAGTGAGTTGCTGCCGGGGTTAGCCGGCTGGTCAGTGCAGGGTCACTGCCTGGCTCTCAGGAGTCCCTGTAGGGAGACATGGGGGACAGTCTGACAAGTTAGCACTGGGAGGTGTGACTGGGGACAGGCTGAGACAGGTTGGCACTGTGATGTGGTCAGGGACAGACTGTGGCCAGTGCTGTGAGATATGACTGGGGACGGGCTGTGGGTCAGATGTGAGATGTGACCGGGAGACAGGCTGAGTGGCAGGTGTGAGGTATGACTGGGGACAGACAGGGTAACAGGTGTGAGAAGTGACCAGGAACAGGCTGTGGGACAAGTCAGTGCTGTGAGGCGTGGCCAGGGACAGGCTGTGTGACAGGCTGGTGACATGAGTATCTGAGTTGGTAGCCACTGTCTGGCTCTCGCTTGTGTACGTGGGGACAGCGAGCAAACTGAAGGTGACTGTGTCCAGTTGCAGGACCACGTTAGGACCTGTGGCAAGTGTAAAGTGCCCTGTCGTTTCCAAGCCCTCGGCTGCCCTGACGTGGTGAGTGTGGTCATCTGCTATGCATATTGTCCCTTCCATGTCTCTTCCTGTTGACACCTCACCCCTGAATGAGTGGCCCCAGGGCTTGGTGCCCCCAAGGCCCCTTTCACAGGGTCAGAGAGACCCCGCCCACCGAGTCCTCTCAGTGGTCTCCAGGTCTTGTGCGAGCCCTTGATTGCTGTCCTCGCCCACGAGCAGCACTGTGGTCAGGCTGTGGACACAGCCTGTCATCCCCACCGCCTTGTAAGAGAGTGATCCTGGGCCCACCCGTGTCAGGACGGTCAGCTGTGGCGGGAAGAGGTCCCTTCTCCCACGGTTGTGCCTGGGTGGGTGGTGGCAAGTCCCTATTCCCACTTACTGTGTCCAGTATTTGTTCTGTGAGCTCATGACAGGATGTGGCTCTGCTGTCAGTAGACAGCAGTGGGGAGGTAACTGTCCCTGTGTGGATACGGTGGATGGGTGACTGTCTTCATGTGGACACAGTGAGCAGGTGGCTGTCCCCGTGGGGACATGGTGGGCTGGTAGCTGTCAGGTGTGGGAGGGTGGATGGACACAGTGGGCGGGTGGCTGTCTCCATGTGGACGTGGTGGGTGTGTAGCTGTCGCTTGTGGGCAGGTAGGTGGACACAGAGGGCGGGTTGATGTCCCTGTGTGGACACAGGGCAGATGGCTGTCTCCATGTGGACACAGTGGGCGGGTAGCTGTCACATGTGGGAGGGTGGGTGGACACAGAGGGTGGATGGCTGTCCTCGTGTGGATGCAGTGGGCAGGTAGCTGTCCCGTGTGGGAGGGTGGCTGTCCCCAAGTGGCTGTCCCGAGGCCAAGCCTGCGTGGTCTCTGCAGGTGACAGGAGAGCAGCAGCAGGACCACGAGGTGCAGCGGCTGCAGGAGCACCTGGGCCTGCTGCTGGCCCGCGTCCTGGAGGGGGAGCCGCTCTCCGGCCACGGGGCTGCAGGGCTCCTGGAGCGGTGCCACACTTTGGAGGGGAAGACAGCCACGTTCGAGAACATTGTCTGTGTCCTGAACCGGGAGGTGGAGCGTGTGGCCATGACAGCCGAAGCCTGTGGCCGGCAGCACCGGCTGGACCAGGAGAAGATCGAAGCCCTCAGCAGTAAGGTGTGTGCTGGCCGGGGGTGTAGGTGGCTGCAGGGCAGCCTGGTGGGGCCAGTCTCGGGCAGTGCTTTGTGTGGAGCTCTGCGGCCTTCTCTGCAGGTCCGATAGCCCCTGTTCCCGTGGGCTCCAGGCTGCGCAGGCCCCAGCTGGGCCCTGGTGCTGCCTGGTGTCCTGAGCCCTGTGTCCTTGCAGGTACAGCAGCTGGAGAGGAGCATTGGCCTGAAGGACCTGGCGCTGGCCGACCTGGAACAGAAGGTCCGGGAGATGGAGGCGACCACCTACGACGGCGTGTTCATCTGGAAGATCACCGACTTTGCCCGCAAGCGCCAGGAGGCCGTGGCCGGCCGCACCCCCGCCATCTTCTCCCCAGGTGGGCCTGAGCCCCGATCCTGCTTCCCTTCTCGCCCCAGCCCACCCCCCTTGTACCCCAGTTCCCAATCCTGGTCACTTGTGTGTGTCCTGCCCCTGACCCACCCTTCTCATTACTCCACCCCCAGTCCTGCCCTTTGTGTGTGTGTTAGGGGGCCAGGGCCCCGGGTTCTGCCCGTAGCCCACCCTCCTTGTACCCCAGCTCCTGATCTTGCCCTCTCTGTGGGCAGGGGGCTGGGGTCACTGTCCTTCCCTGGCTTACCCCGCCCCGCCCCCACCCAGCCTTCTACACAAGCAGGTACGGCTACAAGATGTGTCTGCGCGTGTACCTGAACGGAGACGGCACCGGGCGGGGCACCCACCTGTCCCTCTTCTTCGTGGTGATGAGAGGTCCCAATGACGCCCTCCTGCGCTGGCCCTTCAACCAGAAGGTGAGTGGCCGGGCAGGGTGGATGGCTCTAAACCTCGACTTGCTCGGGGCTCGGTTCCAGGGGCTTCTGCCGAGGAGCCCACAAATACAGAGGTCCCAGCATGCACTGTGTCAGTCCTGTGTCCCAGCCCTCCGTGCTTCTGCCACACTGGTCACCACAATTAGCAGGTTGCTTAAGAGAAGGTTCCTGGGGCCCTGGGCTGGCAAGTGTGAGGACATGTAAGATGGCACTTTGTGACTGCTGACATCTGCCTACACCCCGCTGCCTGCGCTTTGCTGCCCCCGCCCCGCTGCCCGCTCCCCGCTGCCCCCACATTCCGCAGAAGACTTGGGTCTAGTACACGTTTGTCACCTCAGCCTTTTTCACATGTAGTTGAGTGCTGCTTATCTGATCATGTTGTTGGGGGGCCAGTGACTGGACATCACTGGAGAGTTGGATGGGCCAGTGGAAGATAGGAAGCCCCTCGATGCGTGGGCTGACCCCGTACCATGCACAGCGTCCTGTGGGGGTTCACTGAGCGTCAGGGCACACTCTCACGCCCCACAGTCGGTGCCCAACTTCCTCCCAGACCTGTGCCCTGTGGGTCCTGCTGTCCCCTCCTGCGTGCACACTCTGTAGGTGTCCTCGATCACCTGTCATGACCTGTCGTGTCTGACTGTGCCCTTCAGTATGAGCTGATTAGAGCTCATCCGCATCGAACCGTTAGGACGGGCCAGGACCTCGTCTCCCTGTGTGCACTGAGGGTCTCATGTCCGGCTCGGTCTGCGCCTGCTTTCAGGCTGGCCGTGGGGCTGGGAGGGTCCAGCTGGGTCCTGTGCCTCACAGCAGCCATCTGCACAGCGGTGCCCCTGCCCTGGCCACAGAGTGCTGGATCAAAAAGGAGCAGACGCCTGAGCGTAGCTCACGCCCTGCCGTCCCCGCAGGTGACACTCATGCTCCTTGACCAGAACAACCGTGAGCACGTGATTGATGCTTTCCGGCCAGACGTCACCTCCTCCTCCTTCCAGCGGCCGGTGAGTGACATGAACATTGCCAGCGGCTGCCCTCTGTTCTGCCCCGTCTCCAAGATGGAGGCCAAGAACTCATACGTGCGCAACGACGCAATCTTCATCAAAGCCATCGTGGACCTGACGGGGCTGTAGAGCTGCTGTGGTCACCTCGGGCAGGTGTGCGTGGCCCCAGGCCGCACTGGGCAGGGCCTGGGCTGGGCAGGGCCATTGCAGACAGTCCTGACCTCCATGCCCAGGGCAGGAGGCTGCTAGCTGCAAAGATGAGCCAGGCGGGAGCTCGGCTGTGGCCCGTGGCTGTGAGCGTGGGCCATGACCATGGCTGTGGACCCAGGCCATGACTGGATGCTGTGACCACGGACTGTCGCCTGTGGCATGCCCAGCAGCCTGGGAGGGGCTGGTCTCCGCAGGAGCTGCCATCAGGCCTTGCCCAGGTGTGGGGCTCTGATGCTGGGGGTCTTGAATCTCAGGCCCTGCTGCTCATCCAGGGGACACCCCCCTGTGAGCCCACCTGGACACAAGATCCTCAGTCCCGGGGTCTGACCTCTCAGGGCATGGGAGGGCCCCTGTGGGACTGGTTGGGGTGCACATGGACAGGCACAGAGCCCAGCCCCGCTGGCTGGGGGAGAGGTCAGCCACACTGTGGGCTGACCATCAGAACTTGTCATTAAACCTTCAGAGCTCTGTGTGTGGTGTCTCGTCCAGTCGGCTCCCAGCAGCGCTGAGCCTCGGGACCCAGCTGCTCACTGATGGTAACGCAGGGACAGGGTGGAGGGTGCTTCGTCCTCTCCCATTCACCCTGCAGTCCTGCCCTCTGTGTCATCGATGGTAGTTGATGGCACCCTGCTGCTACGATGTGCTCCCCGAGCAGTGAGCACTCCTATACCATTGGCCTCAGGGCCACCCCACGGCCTCACAGAGCTCCCTGGAGGTGCCCAGCCTCCCCAGACAGAAGGCTGCCCAGGCCCCGCAGAGCAGAGGCCCCTTCCCCCACAGGCACGCAGATTCTTGAACAGGCTGCCCTCGAGGTGCGGCCTTGTGTGCTTTCCAGCCTCCAGGAGGAGGCTGGCAGAGGCCATTTCACCAGCCTGAGATCACAGACTTCCCAGGGGGCAGGCGGGCAGGCAGGCGTCCTGGGTCTCCTGTGATGTCAGGACCTGGGCCTGTGTGTAGAGCTGACAGACCACCTGTGTGACCGCACAAGCTGTGAGCTTCCAGATCCCCCAGGAAGGCTTTGCGGGCCTGGCTGGAAGCTTCTGGTGGCCCGGTGCCTGTGCAGCAGGTCCTTGCATCTACCTCTGTGGTGGGTACGCTGCAGCTCAGCTCGCGGAGTGTTCAGACAGCCCATGCTCTTTGTCCCCCGCCTTGGCCTGTGGGCTGATGACTGGCAGTTCTGAGCCCTGCAGCGTGACCGAAAGGCAGTGGAGCCTGAGCTGGTGTGTTTGGCCTGAGTTATATGAAGCACCCCTTTGTCTGCAAGGCCCCATGTACGTGCTGGTGTCTGAGAAAACAGACCAGCGGTCGTGCTCAGTGGGGTTCAGGTGGCTGCAGTTCCAGGACCGAGTGGTTGCTCATGGTCAGCAGTCCTAGTGTTTGGAGGGACCACCATTCTGCAAATGGGCTGCATTAGCTCGAACCTCTGGGCTTCACGTGGCCCTGTGCCTGACTGCCTGTGTTGGCTAGGGTCTCAGTGCACAGGGATGATGACAGAAAATCCAGTGCAGGTGACCAGGATTTCCAAGTTGGTTTGTCACTATTCTGCCCTCTACTCTCCTTAAGCAAGATAGAATGGATGTGCAGGCAGTGGCCAGGCCGAGGCAGCACAGACTCCGACCCACCTGACCCTCCTCACCCAGCCAGGAACAGGCCACGTGGCCAAAATGGTCAGCTGGGTCCCTGGTTCTTGCCCCGCCTCCAGTCAGGACCAGTGTGGGAAGTCATGAGGAGCTGTGTTGGAGAGCAGATGTGTCCCAGCCCTGGCCCGCACCGTCCTCCCCTTCCTGGGCACGTGAGAGCCCCCTGCTGGTCACCTTGTCTGTCCATCTTGCTGAGGGTCTTCCTGTCTTTCTCTAACCTAGTTTTCCAGTATGATGGCTTTTTCCAAGGGCTTTCCCCTAAAACTGGCTGCTAAACAAAAGGTCCTTGGTTTGAACCCACTAGCAGCTCTGCAGAACACGTCCACCAATGTCACAAGTGGGCAGGCCGCCTTCTAGGTGAGGTGTGTTCTTCACCTTCAAGTACCATCGTGATCAATTCGCTGCTTCTCCAGGCGGCTGGTGAACTTAAACGCGTGCATGTCCTGCTCAGAGGAGAGTCCTGTTATCAAACACCTGTACTCGCTCGCTCATCACCTGGTCAGTGTGGCCTCTGTCGCTGTCATTTTGTCTTCGCAAGGCTGTCACATGGTGCTGAGTGAAAAAGACAAATCAGGCCACTGTCGTAATACCCTGAAGAAAGATGCCCACACAGAGCCATTCCTGGGTGGTCAGCAGGAGAGGGGAGTAAACATCAGAAAAAAGATCATTCTCCTTACTGCTGTTAGGTTCTGTGGAGTACGAACCTAAGAACAACAGATCTGAGCCCCATTATATCCTGTGCCAACCTCAATGTCGGACATGCTTAAGCCCATTCCTGCAGTCACCGTGTCAGTTCACCTGGTTGAGGCTCGTATGCTCCTTCGTGGACCCTCCACCTTCCCAAGCATGAGGCCTCTGGGAGAGGGGCATGCTCAAAGCGTGTGGGACGAAGCTTTGTTGTCTTTAAGGAGCACTCCGGCTGCATCCTCTCTCAAGACTTACCTGCTTGTCCTCTTGGCTGTCCATGGGATGTTCAGTGCTCTCCAACACCGCAGTTCAAAGGCATCGATTCTTCTGTCATCCTTGTTCATCGTTCAGCTCTGACTCATACCAAGTGACTGAAGAGACCATGGCCTGAATCAGTCGCACCTTAGTATTTTTTTATTTTATTTTAATTAAAGCTAACAGAAAAGTTGGATTTTTATCTATTCATTGTTGCCATTTCCTCCCTCCCTCCAAATACTTGCTATGCCTCTCTTTTTCTGGACTGTTGTCATACAGATACTACTTAATTATATATTCTTTTTAAACAGTCCTTCATCTATTCTAATACAGTGTTCATTGTTTATCCCCTCTTTTCCTAGTTTTCCCCAAACCCCCCCCATGTCAGTCTTATTTTATAACATTGGTATTATGCAATACTTGTCCTTTTATGACTGAGATTTTTCACTTTGCAAAATGTCTTCCAGGGTCACGCATGTTGTGTAATGTTTTACGCGTTCCTTGTTTTTCAGTGCTGCATAGTATTCCACTATGTGACTGTACCATCATTTATGCATTTGTTGGTGGGCATTGGGTTGTTTCCATCTCTTGCTATTGTTATTAACACAATAATAAACAAGGGTTTACATACGTATGTTGAGTGGCGGCTCTGGTTTCTTCAGGATATATTCCCAGTAGTGGAATTGCTGGGTCAAATGGTATTTTCTTTTTATTTTTTAGGGGGTACAAGGAGGTGAGGGGTGGGGGCAGAAGGGTGAGGATGGGCAGGGATGAAAATTGCAGGGTGCAGTTGCAGAGCTGCACAATTTGGTTGATGGGGGGAGCAGGTGAAGGAAATGAAAAGGATCCAGTGGGGACCAGATGCTACAGGGGAATGGTGAGCATATTCCAATGGTGATTAAACCAACTGTCTTATTGATTTGGGAACTGGATGCCGACTCAGTGGCTTCTTCATGCTGAACAGGGGCGTTGATGTGAAGGGGGAAAGGGAGGACACTATCACCTGACTGGTGGTCTTGGGTTAAAGCTGCTTGCCTTCTTGTTCTGTTAGATATTTTCCTGACATTTTCTCCCCTCTGGACTGCAAAGTGTTTTCCCAGGTGGGTCCAGTGGGGATGGCTGGTTGAACCCAGAGGCTCCATCCTCCTTTGCTTCCTTAGCTGGCAGTTGTATTTCCTTTTTGTCACTGGCACTGGGTTCAGGATAAGGTCCTTTCCTCGGGAATCCTTGAATTCCTGTTGTTGAGCCTCAATCTTCACTGAAAACCAGTCATCAACTGTTTAACTGTTCAATTATCAATAAACAGAGGTCTGTAGAAGGCCATAGTGGCCCTCCTCCAAGTGGTCCACTGCTCCCGCAGCTCACATTGTCTCCGCCTCTGCCGCCATCTTGGATCTCCAAATGGTATTTTCTATTTTCAACTTTCTGAGAATGTGTCATCCTGCCTTCCATAGTACACTCTCACTATCAATCTCTCCACCACCTCACCAGAATTTGTTGTTTGCTGCTCTGTTGAACTTTACTGTTGTTGCAGGGGTGAGATGTTATCTCAAAATTGTTTGCACCTTAGTCTTTACACTGATATCTATGGGAAGCCAAACTTTATACCAAATATTATATGAAAACCCTTGTTCAGGAATTGAAGGAATTACAGATTTATAAGTTAGGATTTCTCTTGTGGCA